AAATGTTGTATGTTAAATGTTAAGTTTATAATATGCGTAGTTGATCGCTAAATTTAGGGGCTGTGTGCGCTATTGGCCTACAGACTGATTTACAGCACGTGAATTCATTCATTTATCCTGAAAGAAATGGAAGTGACATGAGTGCCTGCAAGAGGGAGAAAAATTGAGTAGCCTATATTTTATAGTTATATATATATATATAACACAAATTTTTTTAAAGAAACACTTCTTCAAATTATATTTTAAATTATCATTAGGCCTATTGCCGCTTGCTCACTTCAGACATTAGGCCTAATGTGTATTTTTCTTGATTAAATCAAGGTTTATCTAATAATTCTGTTGCACCAAACTTCAAACCTTTCAAAATAAGCAGGTTTACATTTTTAACCCATCATTTTGATCGGATTTAAGTTATATTTAAGATTAACTTTAATCCTGTTGCACATAACTTTAAACTCAGATTTAAATCTCAATTATGGATTAACTTTAAACTTAACCCTTAAAAGACCTCGGGTCTTTAGTGACCCGGAACATCATTATCTACCCTCTCCCGCCTTCATTTTTTTAAGACAGACATCAAATTTCTTAGTATACCTCAATCTATTAATTATAAACAATATAACAAGAAAAAAAGAGTAAAATATAAAAGATTAATTGAAAACAAAAACTGATTAATTATACAATTTTTTACAAAAAATAATCTTTTTTTTTTCAATTAATCTTTTATATTTTACTATTTGTAAAATGTGTGAGTATTGTTTTCCTGCGCAACTATATATACATATCTGATTACTCAATATGTGCAATGCATATTTTTTCCTCAAGGTGGCACTGTTTGAAACACAATGATGACGTGACGTTTCACTGATAATTACAGCAGGCATACAACAAACGAATATCATCAGCAAAAATTGAAGTGGTTTGAATGGCTTTACTGCAGAGCAATTACTATACACAATGAAATATAAATGTCACTGTCATTTGATGCTGGATGTGGTGAATAAGCTGCCAGTGATCAAAATATTGAATATGAAGTCATTGAAAACGATAGTTTTGAGAATATCGCTGAGATCGTGAATATGAGGCAGCTGCTGAATGTACTGTGGAAGTGCGCTCTGACAATGACAGCGATGGTAAAATCATCTGCTCCATTTGAAACCTTTTAAGTTTCAAAAGGTAACGAAATATGC